CGCAATTTACATTCATGACAGGTTTTTTTGTAACGTATGCATAAGGGTTTAAATTTTACTTTTTGGGTTTCGTTTTTTTCTCTCTTGACTTGTTTGAAATTGCCGATCGGATTTTCATTTTTTTTTTAATGAAATTGATGTGGGCTTTTTGTTTTTGTTATTTTTTGATTTGTTTTAGACCCGAAGGATCTCCGTTCACCAAAATACTAGAAGATCGGCTGGTCTGAATATGTCATCAATGTACAAAACCCGGCGGGCTGAATGGAATTGAGAATGGGAATTGTGAAGCTTTTAGAAGCTTGTGAAATGTCATGGAACTGATAATGGAAATTATATTGTTAGATGTTCCAATTGTGGGTGATGAGTTGTTAGTTGCTTTTAGAAAAGCTGATATGAGGGTAGAGATTACACTTCATTGCATTTGAACGAGATATGGCCTCGTAATATATGCACTGATCTTTAGCTAGAATTGCTCGGAATCATCATCCATGCCCACCATGTGTTTGATAAAATTACCATATGTATCCCACCTGAAGTTATGCGACTACAACTTTTTTCTTCAGATAGAAATTCATGTGTTGGATGGTTGTGTTTCATTTTATTGAAAGAAACATTGTTTGTCCAAGGATTGATCTGTGTTAATTAGGGTGACGGGATTCAGAGAGAAGCATAGTGCTTATTTCAAGAGCATAGTTGATTTTTGCATCGAAGCAGGGTAGGCATTGGCTTTTGACCAGCATTAGCTGACGCTTCTAGATCTGAGGGTGCTCTCTTCCCCCTTTTGATATGTTTAGTACTTGTTGCATATGCCTGAAGAAGTCCCTGAAAAGAAGGATACTACAGGGATGAGGGGTGTAGTGAAGAGTGTAGGTTTGGCTGTCGTTAATGATTCAGAGTAGCTTGGATCAATTTTGGCCAGCCAAATCTCCCATAAAAGCTTTCTCAATTGACTCTGGTGATTAGAGATCTAAGGGAGCTAGAGAGATGTGCTTGATACATGAACCATTCATCATAGTAGCAACATGGAATAAAAACAGAGTAGAGCAGGCTCCAGAAACCTAGGGATTTTTACTCACTATATAACAAAACCCAGAAATTAAAAGTTTTTATTAACACAGACACATAAAAATTTTATACAGATACAGGAGAAATAGTATAGACAGGTAAAGTGGGGACTAGGTAGGGACTACAGACTCTTTTTTGGCCAAACAGAACATAGAGATTACAACATCTTATTAACATGAACAGAAGAGACACAGATTTATACAGATTTAAGGAAAAATAGAATATACATACAGGTGGTAGAGCAGTACCCTAGGAGTTTTTCTTGTTTGGCCTCACAAAACCTAGAGGTTGAGGTCTATCATGAACACAAATTTACACAGATTGAGGGAGAAATAGTATTGGAAGATAAAAGCAGAGTCTGGTGTGGTTTAACTTGTAATATTTTCTTTCTCTGCTTTAAGATAGCAGGATCTCCATGAGCCTTTCTTCTGCTTCTAAGATGTGAAGCAGGTCAACGAAAAGCTGGTTATGTAGCATCCCCAAAAGCTCCAGTTCAGCTTCTTTCTCCTCCACTGCTTCTACCATTTCTGCCACTTCCTCTCTCATGTGGCTTGTTTCCGCTCTTTCCCCTGCAGCTTTTGCTTCCATCCTCTGCAGAATCTCCTTCTTTTTCTTAAACCGTTCGTTGAATTGCTTTTCTCCCCAAGAAATCATATCCATCTTGAGACTCAATCGAAGGCTTCTACATGCCGATCCCTGAAATAATTACAAAAAAGTACGGCCATGAGAAAAGTGGAAGAAAAAGAACTAATATGGTTGGGTTGTGAAGTGAAGTACCTTTGCTCTTGAATTCTGTTTGGCTCCCAAATTGCCTGGAGCCGTGCCAATGATATTTTGTTTCTGAAAAGGAAACACAATATTTAGGTTGTCTCTGCACTTATTTGGGAGTATGTAACTAAAGTTCCTAATTTATAAAGCACTCCTATGATGCTTTGGGGGAAAAAAAAAAAGAAAAGGAAAGTTCCAGGAAACATCATCCGGGCAGTTCTAATTCGGTGAGACAGTGGCGGTGCGGCTGCTGTTGGTTGACGTAGGAATCAAATGTTGTCCCCATGAAATTAATGCTGCTGCAATCTATCCTTTCATAGGCAGCACACCTCCGCCGTCTCCGCTGTAGCATTCGTCTTACATCAGCTTCAGTGTCTTATTTAGACGGATATCACATAGGAGCCAGATCTTTGATGTGAACTCTATTAAGCGGTCAGAGGCGGGTCGGTGAGTTGTTTTTTTTTTTTTTTTAAACAGTGTGAAATCTGTTTTCTTTGGGAAGGGGAAATTGGGGGGACTTGAGATTGATCCAAGTCTTTGTAGTCTTACGCACGTCCCTTGCAAGGGGCTGGCCATTTGACCACCGAGTACGGGATGGGTCGGTGAGTTGTTAATCATATTTGGAATCGAATCTCTAATGGTTAATATTTAATAATACTTATCTATTAAATTTTATTTTTATAAAAAAAAAAATCTTAGATTTGCACCACCTAAGTTGTTCTCTATGTTAAGATATTCAGATACTTATTAAAACAATTTCTTCTTAGGTCCGCCTCTGATTTTGAAAATTGAAGATACCATACATTGGAACGAAATGCAAAGACTAAAAATCTTGGCGGTAATTGCTGTAAGATCCACAAGATATTAACGGCCATGTTTTTCGTGTATGATTTCGTCTCATATTTTTTGTTTCCCTACATCAATGTTTTTATAACATGAATTTTTTTTATATAATTAATTTTTTTATTTAAAGCTTAAGTATAATATTATAAATTTATAATTTTATATAATATTATAAATATGCTGTTTATTATATTGACACGGTGTTTGATTTTGATTTAAAAGAATTTTTTTTTGCTTTTGATTTCATCATTTTCATGATTCTACCCTAATTTTAACAATTTGTTTCGATAAAAATTAATAAAGGAAAGGGAAGGGAGGAGAAGGGACGGAAAGGAAGGAGAAGTGAAGGAAAGAAAATGGTCAATGCTAACTTTATTTGAATAGATAAAAATAGAGGAGATGAAAGAAAAATAAAATAAAATAAAATAAAATATTTAAAATTTACTAATTAAAACAATAATTGAAATAAAATATTTTTATATATTTATTTTCTAAAAATATTAAAAAAATATTAATTATATAGATTAAACTCATCCCAATTCCTCCAATTTAGAAGATGGAAAACAAAAGAGTAAAGAGAGTTTTATCACGCCTCCTCCCTCTCGCTCCATTAATGAGAAAAATAAACAGAATAAGGAAGACATTAACCTCTCACTTTTCCCTGCTCCCCTTCCAACTCCATCAATCCAAACAGGGGCTAAGGGAATTACGCATTATTTGTCTTAAGCATGATTCATGGAGGGATTTGTTGTGTAAAAATATATTTGAATTCAATTGCGTGGCTAAATCCTCTCATTTGTTTTTTTTTTTTTCTTCTATTTTTTCTCAGATCCACGAAACTACATACCTAAGCACGAGTAGTTTAGAATATTACATGATTTCGATTATGAAAACTTAGTTAAAGTTTGAAAAGTTAGGTACGTAACTAACCTATCATGTATATATGTAATAGTCTAATTGATAAGATAATTTATTCTTTCTTTATTGATTAGTGTTTGATTTTTTTTTTCTAATGATATTAATGAGAAAGCTCTTCTTTTTCCTATTCGTCTCTCATAAAACTTGTTGAATAACAAGTTGCTTTTTGGAAAACAAAATGCTAATTGTCGGTTTTTGAGTCTTTAGTATATGCTTTGTCATGCGCCAAAAAAAGTATATACTTTGTCATACAAGGGTGTTCGGGATCCCTCTATTGTATTTCTTTGTTATATGAGGAAAATAAAATGTTAATTAATTTTTTTTAACAAAGTGCTAATTAACAATTTTAGTAAAAATATGTATAGCAGCAAGTTTAGAAATAGACAACCAAGTAAAGAATAATAACATAAGAGCATGAATAAAATAATGCTCGAAGTCTGCGTTGTCTTCTTGTCTTTTATTTTTTGTTGGATACAAAATAATCCTAGGAGATGTGAGGTTTCGGGGGTAGTTGACCCTTAATACGTAAAACAACTGGATTTTTACAATCCCCAGAAACTGCCCATTTTATTGTTTTCTTGAGATCTTTTGCTTGGATTTAAACAAACTCCAACTGGCAAGTTATGACCGGAATGTTAAAGTCTTTAATTATAAAATATTATCTTTAAAAATTGTAATTTTATTTAATTTAATTAAATGATTAATAATTATAATCATTAAAAACTAATAATTAATAAAAACAATTGATATTTATTAATTAATAAATTAAAATTAATTAAGAAATTGATATTTTTAAATATTATTGAAGAAAAAAATTAAAAATTTTATAATCTTAATATTTTTTATAATAACAATAACCGCACCAATACAAAACACCAACATTTAAAAAATTTTCCAATCCTCTTTGCCGACGAAGTTGGTACTAACTTACTATTAAGACTTAAGAGTGCCTTGCTTGGCTTAAACTCTCACCTAAACCTCGTGATCTTTCGTTGAAGAGCACCGACCATCTAAAAGTTATGACTTTGGATTCCCCTTGACTTTAATTTTATTTATTTACATATAGTTTTTGTGAATTTAATAAAAGAATATTTCAACTATTTTTTATATAATATAAAAGTATTATTTTAAAATGAAAATTTTTAATGTATGTCTAAAGTTACTGAAAGTACATTAATTACAAATTTTTATTATTAATTTATAAAATAAAAATTAATTTTAGTTTTATCAATTATTCGATTAAAATATTTTACGTAACATTGATATTAAAAATAAAATTTACTTTTATAATTTTTCATACAAATTATTAATAATAACATATAATAAATATACTATTAACTTATGCTTTAAGAAAAACCCTTTGAAATTGCACATAAAAGTCTTTATTTTTTTTTTAAATGAAAAGCCATGCAAAAAGTCAATTAAAACAGCTACTTTAGAATGAAGGTGCAAAAATTACCTAAAAATTTTTCAAGTCATTCATTTGATCAATTAACCAATAGTTGCTTTTCTTAAACATGCTAATATGGTTTAGGAAAAACTTGGTAGGTTTTTTCTCAGTGTAGTGAAATGTTAACCTTTTACAAAACTTAACAATTTTAATAAAATTCCAATAAAAATATTTTAAATAAAATATTTACTTGTAGGTCATCCTCTCAAAAGTGGATAAGAAAATAAAAATAAGAAAAACCCTTAGGCCCAAGCCTAATGATTAATGTTGTGCTCTAGTGATAAATGATTGTATTTCAACCCAATTTGATTTCAAACGTAGAAAAGCCCAACTTAGCGTAGGCTAAAATCTGATTATCAACCCAACTTAGAAAGACCAATAACATTTTTTCTTCCGCTTGTATTTTATTTGGGCGGAGGCCCAGGGAAACTCTACAGCCACTGCTGGATGGGTATGCCCTCAAGAATTCAGTAAATTAATGTGTCAATTGGAAAATCTTACAGTTTTGATTGATAAGTGACAAATTTTTGAACAAGGGAAATGTGGCGTTCTAACATTTATGGAGAATTGTTTTGGATAACCAAAAAACAGTTTAAGAACTTTTTCAGACTCAATCTTTTTTTCAGATTAAAATTTATAGGAATTGGATACCAAAGAGTAGATTCTTGCAAAATTTCACCCAAATTAGTGTAGTTAACGCACTCTCACAATAACATCTACGAAATGCCAGAGTTTAATATTAAAGTCCTTCTAAAATATCTTCATTATTTGTTGAAAGAAAAAAGTGATAAAGTTTTATTCAAGAGGTTAGTACATATTAATTTTGACTTTAAAAAAAATTAAAATTCTAACATGTATTTAAAAATTGAAATTTCAATTCAAAATTTAAAAATTTATTATATTAAATATTGATACTTAAATTTAAAAAATTAATTATATTAAATATTAATATTTAATAACATGAATTTTTAAATTTTAAATTAAATATTAATTAAATAAAACGATATAATTAAAATTTTAACTTTAAAGTTTAAATAGATAGCTCATATAAAAGGTAAGAGGGTGGGATTTACTTCCAAATTCAATCAAATCAAAATTGCTGGAATTTAAATTAGTCAAAACCAATTGCATAACTTAAAAGTTTGAATTTAATTGTATAGATTTTAATCAAACCAAACATAAGAGTTGTAAAATTTGAAATGAATTCTACAAACTCTTTATTCAACTCCACTTCAATTCACATTAAGCACACTCCAAACTGAAACCCAACTTAATTTTACGATCACACCACACACTTTGCACACCAGATAAGCAAAGTAAACTGATTATGTATCATTTTTTTTTTTTCCCTCATCCCTTTATTCTTATTTCTCAGCTAATTAATTAAGCTGAAGTAGCAGAATCTCCGCAAGCTTGTTCACATCTTCTGTGATTCGAATCATCTCAACGGTGTTCTGGTTAATTGAAATCTTCAACAGGTCCAGCTTTAATTTTATCTCTCCAGCAGCAGCTGAGATTTCCAGCATCTCCTCTCTCTCACGGCGCATCTCTGCCGCTTTGGCTTCCATGTTCTCCACCAGAGTCTTGTTTGCACAAAATAAAGACCATCTCAATAAATCTATAATGTTAAGAATTGGATAGAATTTCTTTACCTTGAGCTTGGGCCTAAAAGTCTCAATATTCTTTCTGCCACGGGCCTTACAAGTTTTCATTGCCACAGCGGAGTTGGTGCAGCAACGGAGAGCAGAGTTCTGAGGCTTTTCCTTGGTCGCTTTCTTTCCTCCATTTGAAGCACTGTACAAGGCAGAAGAGAGTTCAAAAATCAGAATATATGTAAAGATTAGAATTAATTCGAAAGAGAGGCCGTCAACACAAAATTAAAAAAAATTTAACCGAATTAATACCTACTAATTAACTTGACTAGTAAGGGACTAGCAATGGTTCCATAAAATATTTATAAGAATGATAGTTTCAAATGTTGATAAAGGCATAATGATAGTTTCATATGTTGATAAAAGCATACCTGGATCCTCGTTTGTGATTTCGTTTTTGATTGATCTCATTCTCCTCCATATCTGTGGCCTTAAATGTCCTGTGCAGAAACAGAGGAAAAGGGCAAGGATGAGGAAAACGACTGCACGAATGAAATGGTGCTACTTAATTAATTGGTTGAACCTCTTAGCCCCACTTTCCTCCATTTATAGAGTGAGCGAATCAGGGTTGAGTATATTCTACACAAAAAGAAAAAAGGAAAAATGAAAAAGAAAAGAGAAACAGGGTTGAGTAATTTTTCTTGTTCGCTATTGTAATATGTGGACCAATTTCACGCGGAAATGGGTTTAGAATGCAATGAAAGTTTCGGGGTATCTTACAAACGGATTCAGAATCGAAATACCCTTTCTCGATGGGTTTTAAGAAATTTTTATATGAAATAATAACGCTTTAAAAACTGACGTGTGATACGCTTCTTGACACGAAGGTCGATTCCGCGTCTGCTCGTAAGGTTGCGTCCCGTACGTCGTGCGGAACAATGATTTAATCAATTTGTCATGTTGGCTTGAACACCAAGAAATTCATAAAATTCCTCTTTCTTTTTAGTATTAAAAAATCAATTTGTTAATTAATGTAGCACCGTCCACAATTTGTGCCTCATCAATAAGTAGAGACTTAGGCTTAGTTTGGAATACAAGATTAAATAAAATTTAAAGGAAAAAATTAGATAAAATGTATATAATATATCAAATCTTA